TTCTGCAGTGTTTCCACTGCCTGGAAGCCCTGTATTCTTGAAACTTGATGAATTTGAATTTGAGTAATGACATTAAAACTTCGTTCCTTTATTTTAATTGATGATGCAGTAATCTCAATATCCATCGCTTTGCTCTGTTTGACTTGCCTTTGTCACTTTGCTCTCATACGAGCATAACTTGACATGCAATGACTGAAACATCCTTTGTCTATTTGTAATCATTGGCGACAGGATTATGTACCAACTGTCTTCGACCATTACAGTGCAAATGTGTTGTGAATGGAAGCATTGTGAATCTGGGGTTCTGGGATACAGCTGGTAATCTTCTATTAACGGTTACGTCTCATTTTTCTTGGTCGTTCTGAAGAGTCCTGCCACTGTTCCGATGTTTTAATGACATGAAACAGGCCAAGACGATTACGATTGATTAAGACCTTTAAGCTATCCTCAGACAGATGTATTTCTGGTAGCATTCTCTCTCATAAGCAAGGCAAGCTATGAAAACGTCGCCAAGAAAGTAAGATGCGTTTTATTCTTTTATATTTGTTCTGTCCCTTTCTTTTCAGTACTAATGGGTTCTTCTCTCTTTTTCCAGTGGGTTCCTGAGCCGAGGCACTTTGCACCTGGCGTCCCAATTATTCTAGTTGGGACAAAACTTGGTTAGAGTCTTCTTCCTTCGTTATATTCACTTGCATTGCCTATGTTAATACAGGTGTTGACTGGCTAAACCTGGGTGCACTCATAATTCATAGGCATCAAGTTATGACCAAGAGGAACCATTCAATAGAGTTTCAATTTCAAGAGACACATGATGCCGTAAACCAATTTTAGGGATAGTTAACTTTCAATATAATGTTATTACTCCAACCTACCAATTTAACATGTGAGTATCAGAATATAGCTGAGAGAACAATGAAGTCAGGACCACTGAACCAAAGTTCTCAGCTGTTTTCCCCAGTCAATTAGTTCCTTACTACGAACTTATGTTTATCTTTTGATCTTAGGTGTTTTCATTGTATACTGATCTATATAGGAGCTTTTCTTTATGATGCTTAATGGAGATAGGTATTCTCATTAACCGCATAACCGTGACAAAGTTTGTGATATGGTAGGGATGGAAAGGCGAATGTTACCCAATTGTTGAAGCTTATCGTATGATTAAAAGATAAATGGTGAATAGATAGCAGCATCTTAATTCGATTTGTGTTCAGAATTTTTTATTTGAGTGACGAAAGTGCCCTGGTAAATCTTCATCTTAATTCCCTTTCTACTTTTCTGTACAGAGTCTTCAGAAGTCTTGACGTTTGTAGTGTCTCAGATGATTAAGATGGAACGAAGTGTAGCTGCCTATTACACAACTCAGTGCATTGGTGTAGGATAATGTTTTGCAAATAATCTTGAATTCATGAATTATTTGAATTTCCACTTCAAGTATCATATAACAAAAGTGTTGTTTACAGCGCCAAAATTTTTGTCAATAGTTTTCAGATAGCATCTTTAGGAATATGTTTCCTCCTAAATATATGGCTAAAAGCATGTAGTTGATGGATTCATTTTAGACAATTCTTGGCTAGTTTGCTTTGATGAATCATGGCAGCTGAATCTGTCTTTCAGATCTTCGGGATGATGAGAAGTTCCTTCTAGACCACCCTGGTGCAGTGCCCATCACCACGGCTCAGGTGTATGTTACTGCTTTTATGTGTTTCTGTTTGTCTATTAGCCTTTGTTTGTTAGTTAAAAGTCGGAACTTAAACTTACTGATGAATGCTCTTATTCTCTATCTTTTTTGAAGGGGGAGGAACTAAGAAAACTTATTGGCGCTCCTGTTTATGTTGAGTGTAGTTTAGTTCAAAACTCAGATGGTAAATAAATGTTATTTGCATCTTTAAAGTTAATGGAGTAAAAGCATGCTATAACATGATTGATGCCAATCCTTGTGTGAATACAGAATGTGGAAGCAGTTTTTGATGCAGCCATCCAAGTTGTTCTCCAGCCCCCGAAGCAGAAGAAAGAGGAAAGAAAGGGGCAAAAGGCCTGTTTTATTTTGTGAGATCTTCCCTTGTTTTTACATGCTAGTTATTGGAGGATGACATGACCCTAGCCATTTACCAGTAGTCTTCACTCTTCACTATGCTATTTATATGCTGTTTCCACCCTATAGGAAGCAATTGCTCCATGGCTCCAACACTGACTGTATTTGTGACTCATGAGCATCCAAGTTAGTTGTTTGTGTGTGTATCTGTATGGGCATGATGTCGAGACGTTTGGAACCCTTCACGTACAAGCTTGCTGCTTCCCTGACGTTTTCTATTGAGGCTATTTCGTTTGTGGGCATGACTTTATTCATGTTGTAATCTAATATGCTATAACGTTCCTTTGGATGTGAACTATGTAATATGTAATTATGGTTATGAGCTGTTTAGCAGAGTGATTGCAGTTCATTCTCTTTAGTGTTAATTCTGTAAAATGTATCTGCAGCGGTCTAACCAAAAGCTTAGCTTGAATTATCTAATATAAAAATTCTCAGATGACGAAAAGCTGAGAAAACTTGCAACTTGAGGCAAGTTAAATGACAAGCGAGTTGAATAAAACCTGTACTTGAAAACAAGAAATCTGAACTCACAAGAATATACCCTTCCGTTACCTAATTATTGAGTTGATATTGGTTATAAATATAATATCTATTTTTATATGTATTAATTTTTTTAAATTATCCTTGTTGATTGAGTAGGAGATGAGAGAGGAGGATATCAAAGAAGATGATTATGATGTTTTAGAACAAAAAAAAAATATTTTTTTTATAATTAACTGATTTATCTAATTTTTTAATTAAATTAAATTAGTTAAATATATCTTATAGTAAGAATAGAAAGAGTGTAATGGAGAGTATTAGCAACTTTACATACTTGGACAGGGGAGTGTACATCGCCCTTGACATTTTTCAGAGGGAATGGCACACGATGTTTCTCCAACTTTATCAGATTCTCAGCGTTGTCTGTTTTTCGAGTCGGTGATATTTGAAAGATTCTTAAATAAACTTGATTTTAAAAGAAGGGTCTAGAAAAAAAAAAAGTGCTCTCAAACATTCTTATGATTAGCTCGGCCTTATTACTCACGGGTTGGCTGATGCTATCAGGGCTGCTTGGGATTTCTTTCACCCCCACCAATTGTCTTCTCCTCGTGATCTTTGTAGTAGAACTTTGCTCAAAAAGACAGAGAGATACACGTGTTGAACTAATTTTACTTGAGATTAAGGATGACTTTCTCCGACAATGATTTATTCTTTCTCAGTAAGCTTGAACTTCGGATATTGCAAATATCTTGAAATCTTTGTGTTCAAACTTGCATAACTTGAGCTGCTACTTTTGCATATACATATAAAGCTTTGATTGGGCAAAGAAGCAGGAAGGTGCGCCTTGTAGTATCTCACTAGGATGCTGGAAAGAAACTCATGCCTTTACAGTTGTATTTTTGGCAACTGGCATGTGGTAATATGGTCCCATCCCACGGAGTAATTGGATTTTACTATTTTACGTAAATTATTTGAGTGCTACGCCAATCCCTCATAAAAATTTACTTCTCAACTTTATTGATTTAATATTAAAAAAAATATCTGAGTAGAATACTTAATGGTATCTCAGCATCATTGATGTGATACGGGATTCTGTAACTACTTGCTGATCTTAATTTAATTATGGTCAATTAAAACTGGGGACAGAAAAGGCTTTGGAAAACTTGAAAAACAGTGTGAAATGGCAAACATCTTTCAAATTCCCACATAATTTGTGAAAGGCGATAGATTCTTGATATCTTATTTTGCTCCATTTGTTGAGGAATATATACTGTGCCCACTTTCACGAGTCAACAGTGGACAAATGGAACTCATGAAATCGCTCAACATCTCCCTGGAAACCACCCGCCCATTCCCTCCATTAAATATGCAGTGCCTGTTTTCTAGCTTACCATAATTCTCATTTGGTTTGCATTCCTCTTCCTCGCCCCACGTTAATGGCGTCCAAGAGAATTCTGAAGGAGCTCAAAGACTTGCAGAGAGACCCCCCAACGTCATGCAGTGCAGGTAGAGCACACGTGAAAACAACTTTAACTGGTTCTTCTTTTTCCTTTGATTTCCCCTGAATGTGTTGTGATATGGCTATTATGGTGACAAACAGGTCCTGTTGGAGAGGATATGTTCCATTGGCAAGCAACCATCATTGGTCCTAATGACAGTCCCTATGCTGGCGGTGTTTCCTTGTTACCATCCATTTTCCTCCTGATTACCCTTTCAAGCCTCCCAAGGTATGCACCACAAGCTATTCTCTTGGGAAAAATAATAGTTTAAGACTCGACTTATATCAATGATAGATAAGAACTTTACAAATCAAAGCTCTTTTCAAGAATTAAATCATCCATAATACTTCCTAAAGGTGCCGCTCATATTTCTTAAACATACAAATTTATTATTTGTTTATTTCTATGTTACGATGAATAAAATTATCTTGTAACAGTTGGCAGATCTGTTAATAACTCTAGAAATTCTTGGTAACTTTAAGAAATATAAAAATGACATAGTTTTATGATATTTGAAAGCTATTTTGAAGTCTTTACATAAGTTCCTGATAATTTTTCCTTTATTTTTACCCACATATTCATTCTCTTGTTACTTGCCATACATACTCAAGTTTGTCTTCTGATAAGTAGATTTTGAAAACATACTTGGCTATCATATCTACAACAGTCGCATATGATACAGTTTCAGTCTTGAAATATTGATGCTTCATAATTTGTCTTAAACTTTCGAATTTCTTCCCAATGTTTATAGCAGACAGCTGATGTTAAAAGAGCTGTTGGCAGGTTGCATTCAGGACGAAGGTGTTCCATCCCAATATAAACAGCAATGGAAATATCTGTCTGGACATTCTCAAAGAACAATGGAGCCCTGCCCTCACCATATCCAAGGTTAAGTTTTGCAGCTCTTAAAGGATCCATTATATTCCCTATATCAGAAGCGACTTCAATTTTTCTCCTTAAGAAAAATTGTCTAACATCCTTGTCCCTTGTATATTTATGACAGGTTTTGCTGTCAATTTGTTCCCTGCTAACGGATCCGAACCCAGATGACCCGCTTGTTCCAGAAATTGCTCATATGTGCAAATCTGACAAACAGAAGTATGAGTCGACTGCTAGAGGGTGGACCCAGAAGTATGCCATGGGCTGATCAGACTCTCCTAATAATTGCCTCTCTTTCCCGCCACTCCAAATCAATCCCCTTTATACTAAAGTGGCCTTGACCTGAGCCATTACCATACATGTACACCCTCCTATGACTATGAGAATTGTTCTAAAGGCTTTACCTTTGTAATTGTATCGAGTTTTCTATCTAAGAATAAATAAACATGCTCGGATCTTCTTCATCTTACAAAACAGCCTGCCTAAACTTGTTTCTATGGACCCACCAGTCTCTCATTTTCTGTGATGCCATGCAGAAGTACATCCCCCCTAATCCCTGCTTCATATTATTGATATCTTGCGTTAGATTTTGCATTTGATCCAAAACCTTCCGTTGATCTTTTTTGGGCAAGAACAACGCGCTAATACCTCCTATCTTGAATTCCCGTTCATGCTGTGATAAATATATCTTTACTCCCTAAATTCCAGCATGCTTGATAGCTTCTTCTTGTTGTTACAATCCTTGTGTCTCTTGAACTCATTCTGTAGCATCAGTTCTGAAATACACCGACATGAATACTAATTCTTTTTCTTGCTCCTTTCTATAAATCCCAAAACAATTTGCCACTCTTCTTTCCTTGATGTTCGTCCCGTGATGCGTTTCTTCTTGATATCTCTTAAAATTACTCGGTATTTTGTATTCCAATTGAAGGTTAAATATTTGACACTGGGTAGTCTTGAAAATGAACTCTTTCGCAATGATCTAGTATAATTATGATCGCGTTTGTACTGAACTCAAGTTGATATGTTTGGAAGAGTACAATTTCAAGAGTTGAAAATATCACTACTCGCTAATAAACAATGCAACTTTCCCGAACGGATCAAAACGACACGTCAGTTCCTTGCTACTATTGATTATTTCTATCAGCAACAAGTCAAGAACCATAGCAAGTCATCGTTCTGCTTTTCCAAAACCATTTTAGTTTGTTTAATTAGACACCTAACAGATCAAGGTGGCTACATTTCTTCATTATATAAAGTTCCCATAGGAGCTAAAGGCAGCAATAATTGAAGATATTAAACAGATCATATTATTTGAATTCCCATTAATCCTTTAATATAATTGCAACGATGGGCACACAAAAAAAAAAAGTAATGAAATTGAAGTGATTCCATCTGAGGCAAATCAAGCCAAGCCTCACAGAGTGTTATGGTGAGTGCAAGTTGGAGGATTTTTTGTGGTTGGCGATATTGCAGAAACAATAGGGCATGTCCAAATCTAATATTCTCTAAGCAAAATAACTCCTGTACTTGATTCCAAAGATGCAGTTGAGTGGGCCATATCACCCCCCTCACTTCAAATGCGTAAATTCATAGTTTACATCAACCTTGACGATTGACGAAACCGAAAGCATCCATAGGACTGCATATTAAGGAAAATGATCGAGATACACACATAGTAAAATTGTTTCAATTTCGCATATATATAATTAGAAGTAGTAGTCCAGCCAAGGAATATTTTATGAGAACTACATGCTGCGTGTGGAAAACCAGTATTTGACATATCATCTCATCCACAGGAACTGTACTATGAACAATTTTAACGAGCTTATATATATATAAGCAAAATTTTTCAACATTTTTGATAAAATAGTCAATTATATTATATGAAACAAGATAATCAAGTACATAAAGACAGACACACAATAACTATCGTATACCAGACACCGGCTTGTAGTTTCATATGACAAAATAGAGAGACCTTTGAGACAACTGCTACAATCATCCAAACAAAAGATCAGATAAAAACCAACAATTTTGGGAATAAAAGGTACACTAGCCAGCTTCTCCTGGCATGAGTAAAACCCATGGCTACAAATCAAAAGAAAGAGATATACGCCAAACAATAACTAAAAAAAATAGAGCACTACAACTATAGATAAAGCGCTCCGAAAATCTATATTATCTTGTAGGTTGAATTTTTGGATAAAATACCTGAGGAGTGAAGGAAATGAAAAGTGAAATCAGAGAATCAAATTTGAAGATTAGAAGACAATATAAGAAGGACAGTTTGGTATAGATCGTTCCACTGAGCATATGGTTGATGATGCATCTTTTCAAAATTTGGACCATTCCTTTTTTCTATATTAAAATAGTAGCATATTTTGTAATGGGTTTTACTTTAAATTCCGATTCTCAAAGTTTTTGTCCAATGATGTCAGCTGATGGCTTTGGACAAGTTTTTCCAAATTTCATTGTCAACGTCGCATACATATATAGTTGTTGGTTCTGACGCACCGTCCTAACTAACATCCTGGTAAAACATTCCCTGCCACATTACACCTATAATTATTATCAACCATTTCAATTTAAATCTTCCTTTCTTAATTATCATCACTAATCACTTTGTGTCATAATAGTAGTATAATAATAAATCACTTGAACATGGTCAACAGGGGAACTTTGGATTAATTAATTTAATATATTGATTTGACCCAAAAATATGAGCAGGGAATTACCTTTGTTTATGAAAGGAGTGTGAAAGTGAAACAGCAATTACAGCAAACAAAGGCAGTTTCTGTTGGACCTAACAAGAGATAAGGTAGAAAGAAAGAGGAACTGTACGGGGGACAAGGTCGCACAAATTGAAGAAGAAAGGCAGAACTTTAGACTTTGAATTTGTAGGACCACATGTGCATCAGATTTTTAACGTTTTTAATCCAACTTTGAATGGATTTCCATTTCGTCAAGTAACAAAATAGATATCAGAAAAAATTCCAGTGCATTCATCTCATCTTCTGACGAGCAAAGCAACCATTATGACACCGCTTCTTCTTTTAAATATGGTTTTGGCCTTTTAGATTTGTGGCTCCTAAAAGACCTTTTGGGGGTGGCTACAAGTCATCATCTTTAACTCTAACTACCATCACCTTAATTGGATAATAACTCCCAAACATTTATATGTCATCACACCTTTTGCGTAAGATAAGATCACATTCTTCATTTAGTGACACATATTCTCTCGCATATCATAGTTCTTTCCTCGTCTTCTTCCTCCTCCTTTCCTCTCACTATTGTAGTTCTTTCTTCTCCTTTGAGAAAACAAAAATAAAATGGAAAATTTATATTCTTTTTTGGAATAAAAACGAATCATGAATGGCATCATCATGATCATCAGGGTTGTCACGAAGCATGGACACGATGATTGATTCATATGAGATTAATTAGTGGGTAAAGTATTTTTATTTCAATTATTGTGATTTGTTATGGAATGTTTACAATTATGCATCTCACATATAGTATATTATTATGGCAGGAAACTGCCAACTTAACCTAAAGCCGTTAACTAGTCCTTATCTTTTGCGCCAAGCCAATCATATCTGCATAAAATAATTCGGATGAATCTTTTGTATTCTTCCGGTTATAAATATAAGACTATTTTATAATCTTATATTTAGGATCGAAAGAATATATTTAGAAGAAAAGGACAGCAAGTTTGATTGTCTTTAAATTTGTTTTCATCTTCTTCTTTTTTACTTTTCTTTTAAACGTGCCATGGATTAATATAATTTTTTATTAAACTGTGTTATTGTTCGATGGATGTAGGCATAAAACGAAATTGTTATGGGTAGAGAATCTGAATTGTCTCTGTCTCTTCCAAACTTGTGTCACTCTTTTGGAAAAAAAAATTAAAAATGAAGTGAAACTTTTTATTTGTACGTAGCGGAGGAGAAGCTGGGTGGTGGAAGCAGTGAAGCAGGCCGTATGGGTACACATAATAGCCGGTAACAAGTAATCCGACCGGATATGACGGGTTTCGCGCGAAAACTTCTGGTTTTTATTGGAGGACAAAAATACTACTAACAATCTCCCTCTTTTTCTGAGCATCATAAAATTTTGCGCCCTCACTTTCCCCTCAGATTTCTCTCCCTTGCCGACACTTGCTTCTTCCCTCATAATCACCATCTTCATCTTTGTTTGGTTTTTTTTTCCTTCTTCTAGTTTTGAAAACAAGAAAAGAAGATAGGTGTTTCCTTTCACTCAGTATCATCGTCCAAAGAAGCAAGAACGCCACTCTTTTCTTATTTCTTAAAATATATTTGCTCTGTGAGCTTCCGAAATTTAGTTGCAGTAGGTGAGCTGATGCTATTTGGCGGTAATTTCGTTTAAAAATCATGTTAGGCTCAAACCATAGCTGCCTTCAAGATTTAGGTGTATTTTCTTTGTCTCGTCTTGTTTGTCATTCTGTATCTTTCCATTTTTAATGCCTGCTTCTTCTTTTAAGAAAAGTTTAAAAATTTCATATCTCACGTGTTGTGGTGGGTTTTCTCCTTCCGTTTTGTGTTTCTTAACGGCTGTTATCCTGTAATTTTTTTAATGGTAATCTGTTCTGGGTGCTATTTATAATCAGAAAATAGTATTCTAAAAGTGTGCATAGTAATGGAAGCCTTAGTTTAAACCATGGTTGCCCTGTTTTCCAGAGAATGAGATGATTCGTTCGGAAACGGAGAAGATTATCTTTGCTGGAGTTCGGCGAATTCACAGAGGAATAGAATTCATAGCTATTTTGGGATTTGAAAGGTGATTTGATCCAGAAGAGCAAAGCACAACAATGACCGTGGAGAGGGGAACTGTGTTGGTGGGGATAAGAATCGACAGCCAAAGCAGGCAGCTTCTAAACTGGGCTCTTGTCAAAGTTGCTCAACCTGGAGACTGCGTTGTTGCAGTTCATGTGGTCAAGTGTCCAGGTAATCCTTAACCAAAGGGAAAAAAAGTTCAGGGGATCATGTCCTAAACTTTCATGAAACGAAGTCATGTTCTGTTCGAAGTACAGAGTAACTTTATATATTTTGTTTCTTAGTTGAAACAGAGTGTTTTTCTCCTTCTTATTGTTGTCACTTTCATTTATACAGGTCAAGTTTCAAAAAATAAGCCCCTGCTGGACAATTATTTGGAGGTTTATGATGGCCTATGTGATGTGAAAAAAGTAAGTACAATGCAGCGCCCAACTGTTGTGTGAGCAAATTTTCAACTTGGTCATGAATTGTATAGCTCATTTAGTTTTTCAGAGATTAAAAGTTATCATGTGAATGGATTAGTTTAATAAAGCAACTCGTCAGATGTGAGTTCTTTTCTTAAGTGATCTAAAAAGGATCTCTGGAGAGCTAATGCGAGTTTGCTAGTTTTTTACACGTATTCATGGGAAGTTGACTGATATTTGCATATTGCAACTTGGCCTAACTGGGGTTCAGGTAAGTCTCATAGGTCAAATCTTCGGAGGGAGATCCGTTCGAAACATTCTTGTGAGAGAGTCAAAGAATAATTCTGCTCTGGCTCTAGTGGTTGGGTAAGGAATTTTATTTTCCAAAATTTTGAACTGGATTTTGTTCATCTGATTTTTTTTTCCCCTTAAAAAAAATTCGGACCAGTCTAAATCATATTTCACTTTCAGTGGTGGTGCTGCCACAGCAAAACATTGTGCCAAACGACTCCCACCCACCACAGATGTTGTAGCCATCCATGATGGAAGAATTGTCTTCAGAAGGTGTACCAATCTTAAACTACCAGGTTCGGTATTTTTAATGTTCTGGTCCTCAAAGAAGACCAGCTCTTACCTGACCAAAGACCACGACTGACTTGTTTCCCACGATGATAGGTCTTATACAAGATCCGAGGCCTAGCCTCACAAGCATGGATGACAAAGAATTCCTGTCTGAATATGGAGACTCCGAGGTTGCCACTGTGAAATCATTATTTTATGAAGAGACGAGAGAAGATGTGCCAGAATTCAAAGAAGTATTTGGCGGTGTTAAAGGGAGCAAGAAAGGGTATTCAAGAGCAATCTCTCTGTTTGTAGGTGACCCCTGTGAGCAGAAACTAGGATGGCCCTTGCTCCGAAGAGTTAATTCAGAAATATCAGAGACTCCTCTTTCGAGGAACTTGTCTGTAGTACAGTGGGTAATGAACTTACCAGATCGTTCGCCAAAGAAAAGTTCTTGCTTTTCATCCACGGAAGAAAGTCTCTCAGAAAGAGGCATCAGTGATGTTGAGGATGACAGACAGAAAAACAGTTCCCGTTCTTTATCTTTTGAGCTGCCAAAGGACTTGGAGGCGATTTTGGACGTGAATTCATTTGATTGCAAGTGGTTTAACATTGAGGATCTCAAGTCCTGGACTTCTCAATTCTCTTCAGGTCCAAAAATTTAATAGACCAAGCTAATTATGGTTAGAAATAGAAACATGTTAGATATTGAACTGGCATGGCCCTAACTTTGCCCATCCCTCTTTATAATTGATTGGCTTTGACTTTTAATTTAAAAAAAAAAAAAAAAGAATTAAAAAACTGAATCTGCATTAGGATTTCTGAGCTGTTTTCCATGTTCTTCTGTGTTTTAGACCTGAACTTGAATTTCCATTGCAGGAAATCTGATTGGCAAAGGAGGGAGTAACCGTGTGTACAAAGGGATTCTCCCTGATGGAAAACCAATTGCAGTGAAAGTTTTACAATCATCAAAAGAAGCTTGTAGAGATTTTGCACAGGAAGTGGAAATAATATCCTCTTTGAAGCACAAATACATAACCCCTTTGCTTGGAATTTGCGTTGCAGAAAATGCTTTAATCTCTGTCTATGAATTTTTCCCCAAAGGAAGCTTAGAGGAAAATTTACACGGTAAAGATTATGAACAGTTTTTTTTCCCCTATTCATTTTCACTTTTCGGATAACCTGATGCTAAATTGAAATTATAATGCATGTAGGTGAGAACAAGGATGGATCCATATTGTCATGGCAAGAGAGATTTAATATGGCTGTTGGCATAGCAGAAGCCCTAAATTACCTTCACAACGAAACTTCGAAGCCTGTTATCCACAGGGATGTCAAGTCTTCAAATATTCTTTTGTCCCATGAGCTTGAACCACAAGTACGTATGTAAATATTACTTTAAACTCCGTAAAAGAACATTTATGTTTGAAAATTTATGACATCACTTGTAAACTCCCCTCTTTTGAAATTGTGGCAGTTGACTGATTTTGGGCTTGCAATTTGGGGACCAACAAGTTCATATTTTCTGACACAAGAAGATGTAGTAGGAACATTCGGATATCTTGCTCCTGAATACTTCATGTATGGAAAATTAAGTGACAAGATAGATGTGTATGCCTTCGGTGTAGTTCTTCTTGAACTAATTTCAGGAAAGAAACCAATCAGTTCCGAGATTTGCAAAGGACAACGAAGTTTGGTCGCGTGGGTAAGAACTAATCCTACCTAGATAACTCTGACTTTTGTTACAATACATATGATGAGTAGATGAACTATTTTATATATGTAATGATTTCAGGCAAAACCAATAATAGAGAGTGGGAACATTAAAGGCTTATTGGACTCCAATTTAGAGGGGAAATTTGACGAGGTCCAAATGCAGAGAATGGTTAAGGCAGCAAATCTATGCATTACAAGGGCTGCTAGGCTTCGTCCCAAGATGAACCAGGTAACAGCTAAGATGTTAAGGTTCTTTGTTCTGTCTTCATGGAGGCAATAAGCATGTTCAAACTTCAAACTACTTATGTTTGATGAATCTGAATTCAAGATATCATGAACCTGATACCATAATGATCTAAGTTAAGTAAGCTTTAGCTCATAACGTTAAGTATGTGCAGATACTGAAGATCCTTGAAGGAGAAGAAAGAGATGAGAATTTTCTGAGCTCCCAAGGGTTTGATAGTGAGCATACAGAAAACCAGGAGAATATAGACGACGAAGTGTATCCAAATTCAAGTGCAGAGTTACACCTTAGTCTTGCATTGCTTGATGTTGATGATGATTCTACTTCAAATAGCAGCAGTACAGAGCGGAGTAACAGTCTTTCTTTGGAAGAACACTTGAAAGAAAGATGGAGCAGATCATCCAGTTTTGATTAGAAGTTTTTCTTTTCAGGAAAAAATAAATCTATGATATCTTCGTTTATACGTAACATATAATACTTGAGTACATAGAGCACCCAACAATGAGGTGGTTGGTCGATGAAAAGGATTGTGGAGTTGCGTTTCCTGTGTATATATATGAAAAATAAGTAGACAAGGACTTGAGAATAAATACACAGATTTTGAGCTACGGCGGCTCAGATACTTAACCTTTATTTTTCTTGTCGCAGCAAGACTCTTATCCTTTACTAAGGTGAGAATGAAAGGTCAAAAGCAAGAATGCTCTGTTTCTCTTGTGAGGTGAGTGACTTAGATGTGAGTTTATTCAAATGTGAGTTTATTCAAAACTTTTGAAATTAAAAATTAAACAAACACATATCCAGGGGAAATTTTGTTACTTTTATTAGTAACTGAATTATTTTAATGATGCACGGGATAAATAATTTGAAATTTTTTTATGGTTGTAATAATCTTTCTAATATTTAAAGAGGTTTAAAGATCCAAAAATCACGAAATTTAATGAAATATAGGGAAAAGATTAAAAGAACAGAAAAATTATGAAATTCTTGGGAAATTATATTATTCATGGTTTATACAAAGTAAAAATTTTGAGAAACTTTATATTTTATATTAATAGAAGAAGCTCAAAATAAGTCATATCTTCATGAGTATTATTTTATTGAACAGCATTCAAAATAATTTTGGTTTTACAACTATAATTCTATATTTCATATTGAATTAGAGTAATGTTTTCATAACTAAATTACGGGTCAACGCTTCTAATGGAATATACTCGTATTTTTTTTGTTTTACAAGAATAATGAGGTGTTCCGGAGATTTTATACATTAATATACCATAGACACACACAGATGGATGAAAAAAAACCTATTTTATTCCATAGTGAACAAAAATGGAGGGTTCAGGTTAAAAAACCAAAAAAAAATGTAGCGGGGGGAATGTGGAGGAATGTTACAGAGTTACGTTATTTTAATTCGATCAGGTTTGATTTGCATCATTATTATTACATCCAGTACTTAATAAGATCTTACTTGATTTTTATTTTGATCTTAAATATAATATCTCAATTCATTTTGTTTATCATATTTATATTTTTTTTTTCAAGTTAGTTCTTCTAACAATAGTAATTCTAACTAATAAATTTTATTAGTAAAAATATTTTTGAAAAGATAACATCTATTTATTACAAATAATTAATTTAATTTTTTTTATTAATCTTCTCAAATTAAACAACTAACTGTTAATAATTAGAATCGAGATAGTATAATACAGTAACGATATTGAAAAATGCGCAGCTATGATTACGATCTAAGAATCTTTCATTAGGCATGCGGACCCACAATGTGCAGATTTTCATGATGCCACGGAGCTCCTGCATTTTTATAGCAGAGGCCAAAAAACAATTATAAGGCCCGGAAAAAGTTTTAAATTTTGGTAGATCAAGCTCTGTGAATTCTTGTTGTCAAAAAGCAAGTTCTGTCAATTCTGATAATGAATACGGCCCAAAAAAATGTCGATTTTGAATAGTTATAAATCAAAAAATTGTGAGCGGTCGACAATTGCAGTTCGAAGTCTGACCCTGAGAGAGACAGACCCGAAACAAACAGAAATCTGTGGAATCTCTCGAGTCTGAACCAATCCATTGGCTCTGGTGCTTCGAGTTTTGCTCTATTTTCTGCAGAATGTGGCCATTTTCTTCTTAGGGTTTCGCTTGCCGCTCTCCGTCGCGCCATCACTAACTTCTCATCTTAAGGTTTGCTGAGATGTAGTTGTCTCTTGATTTACCTTTCATTCCTCGCTCTTGTTTTGAACCTCAATCTCTCTAATTTAGTTTTTATTTCTTTTCTTTTTCGATCGATTCTGTTACCATCTGAACTTTTAACCTGAAATTCCAGCAGAGCCTGCTCGCTTTGCACTCACTAGTTTTTTAACCTGAATGAACAATATAAAATAAAAAGCTTTATGGCTCTATTGTCGGCTAATTTAGTTTATGCGTGCCTGTCTTGTTCTTGAATTCGAGGAAAGCGTATATGCATATATTCAATACGCTGCAGTTCTCTATATTGTCTGATTTAGTCGTTTGCGTGCCTTTCCTGAAAGAAACTCCCACCTGGATTGATAAAATTCTTTAAGCCCATCACGTTGAAGCTCGTCTCTTAGATTTTCATGGATTTTGCAGTTTGCTTGGTGCTCAAGTTTTTAAAAAGACTATAAATTTCATTCTTTTGCTATTCTTATTTTGTTTGGATGTCTTCATTCGTATACTGTTGACTTCATATAGAAGGAATTGAATACCAGCTTCTGATATTTGTAGAAACCAAAATAATAAATCTCATTTTTCTGACTAGGTCCGCCATCTTTACACATATTTGGGAATTCGTCATGGATGACGGTGAGCTTGATTTCCCAAATCAAGGAACATTCTCCGGTCCAAACATGGAAGAACTTCAGAGTACTGGCTCAATGGATAGTTTCTTTGAAGAGCTTTTAAAGGACGCACATGCTTGCACGCACACTCACACTTGCAACCCTCCTGGCCCTGATAATTCACATACCCACACTTGTTATCATGTGCATACCAAAATTGTTCCCGCACCTTCTGAAGAAAAGGCTGGCACTGATGATAGTGCTGGTACAGATTCTGCAGAAAAGAAGCCAAAAAAACGTTCTTCAGGTAATCGTGAAGCAGTTCGCAAGTATCGTGAGAAGAAGAAAGCCCGAGCTGCATCTTTGGAGGATGAGGTTGTAAAATTGAGAGCTTTGAATCAACATTTGTTGAAGAGGTTGCAAAATCAGTCTGCTTTAGAGGCTGAAATTGCAAGACTAAAGTGCTTGCTAGTAGACATTCGAGGAAGGATTGATGGGGAGATTGGATCATTTCCATATCAGAAATCAACTAATTTGAACCCGCCAACTGCACACTCGTCTGGTTCCTATTTGATGAATCCTTGTAATGTGCAATGTGGTGATCAGGTGCATTGTCTTCATCCAGGAGCAGATGGCAAGAATACAGAATATTTATCAACTGACGGGCAAGGATTGAATGGTTGTGAATTTGAAAGCATCCGCTGCCCAGCAAACCAGAATTTGGGTCTCAATGATCTTTCTGGCTGTGGAGTTGGACAGGAGGTGTCCAATATCAAGTCTTCTAAAGCAAATAAAAGAAAAGGTGAATCCTCATTCCCCTATCTCTCTGATTCTAGCATGGATTATTAATTTCATACCAATTTATGTATAAGCTTGATGCCATTCAAGTTGCCAGTGAATGGTATAATCTGCCTAGCATGTTTGATCTTTGTTTGTGATCCTATGCTTTCTGTTTATCTTGTTGTATTTTTTCTTTTTCTGGATAAAATCTTGGCCATCTCAATGTTATGTCTGGATGTAATGCTGAAGGTTAATTGTTAGATCTTCAGATCAATGACCTTTAACTTCCACTAGGATGCCTGTTTTATTTTATTTTTGCCAAAAGAGGATCCCTGGTTTTGGAAGGGTTGTTGACCATAATTTTAAGTTCATAACTTCATCTAAGAAAGCATGGTGCTTGATTGCTTGTAAATGTTGCAATATAATGACTTAGACTTACCTGAGTAGTAAAACATGTCAAAGGATGCATGGCTCCTAACCTGCTAAGGAGATCATTTGACCCATGAGAAGGCGAGGGAGATGTACACTTGAACATTTTATTGTGATCATTTTACTTTTATGATTTTCGAAAATTTTGTCAGACTGCAATAATCATGATGAAGATATTTCTACAAGCATCAAGAAGTCTCACACTAGATAGTTTTTGAATTTCTGATGTGTCTTTGTGATCCTAGACCTGAAGCGTCATGGATTGGGTCTTCTTGGTTTTCCTTTTCAATAATCCAATGGTATCTTATGTATTAGGGCAAACTTAAGCCACCCACAATGGCTAGTTGAAGAGGCAATGACATGGCAATGGTGGTTTTCATCATCCTCGTGGTACATACTTCCTTCTAATAAGTTGTTGCCAATTGCCGCATCAGCTATCCATCAGGTCATTTTGTAGTTCTGATCTTTGCTTAGGAAAATTCATTTCTTTCTTTTTGACCCTCTGATGGGTTACTTAGGTTGGGATGGCTATTCTATAATGTTAGATCAAACTTTGCTGGCTATGGTTGGTTTAGATATTATTTTGTCCTACATTGACGTTTTTATTAAGCTAAAACAATAGTGCATGCGTAGCCAGCAGAGCTATGGCTGATAGACTTTGCTGTGTGATCATACATGGACTTATTTGAGTTGGTGCAAGAGGCCATCTAAGTGAATGTTGCGCAACGAATTTGTCGATGCTGAATTACAGAACTTAGGGAAGCCGATGTGTTAACATTCAATATTTTGTGCTGTGGGCAGGTGAGACACAAGTATCGATTGTGTAATCTGTATATTTGGTTTGTGAAACGATAATTTCGTCTTGCTTAGTTTTCAGCATTCTTCGTCCTTACCCATTCATTAATCTGAATGACAAGTTCCTTTTGCATTTTGCTGGACAAGGGATGCCCATTATTGGACAAGTGATGCCCATGGAACTTTGCCACCTATAGGCCCCGTTTGGTTGGACGAAATGGCAAAACGTATGGCAGACCGAAGGACAGGAGACTTGTTTGTAGGCCTTGGTATTTCTGTTTGGCAGTGAGGGAAGCAACAGTTCAATCATCCTTGGGAGCCCTTTCTCTAGCAATTGACTGTGAGTTGTTTCATCCCGTCACTGGGAGATGTTTCCCGGGAAATCTAGCATTGTCACTGACAAAAAAAACCCATCAGACATAGCATGAAATTCGTTGAACAGCGGAAACACAAAGGTCGTACAAATAGCTTCGATTGGCATCCCATATTCGTTGGCGGAGTTTGAATCAAATTTCTAGGTAAAATCTACAAATTTTGAAGAGAAAACAAACCAATCAAATCCACCTTCATAATCCACAATCAACTGGTAGCATCATTTCAGTTCAAAATCATATGAATATGTTTTTTCTTTATTTGAAATACCGAGAGAAAAATACGGAACCACTTCGCCCTCCACTCTCTTTTCTGCCGGCAATGAGATCACTATCGTCATCTCTGACAAGACCCCTCGTTGTAGGCCAAGACAGTGGTTGAAACAGAAGGGGCAAAAATGTTCAACCGTTACAATTGAAACATCAGGGCTTTGCATGAACATTAAGCGGTTGATGTAGAGAAAATCCGGTTTTGATGAGTTTCAGCTTCTTAGGGCGTAGAAGGCAAAAAATTATGTGGGTTTTCTCTTTCGACCGTTATAAAGGGGGTTAAAAAATAATACCCGACCCAGTTTGTAACCCAGGACCCTCGTGCTTTTTCTCATGGGCAAGGATATTTTATTTTGAGTAGTATTTTATATTCTTGTCCTCCTTTTCTTTCATTCTATACAAATCAAACGTTCTTTCTAACACCTCTCCCCCCTCCTCCTTCGTCCATCAAGTATCTTTGTTCATCTTATCTTTCGCTTACTTCCTGTCCTTTTCCATTTTTCTGTGAACAAAACACGGCCAGGTGAGGCATGAAGATTGAAGTGCTATTAAATGAGCAGGACCCTCTGAAATTTTTCGGTAAGCCTATATGAAACCTCATTACTTTTTTCCTTTTTTTCTTTGTTTAGTTCTTGGTGCTATTTTTCTTTAAGCTGTGACTTTCCAAGGGAAGAAAATGTGCGATTAATAAACTTCGCAGTGCGTTGCAAGTTGCAAATGAATTGGATCATACTCTTTAAGAAATCATTCAGCTGGTGAACATTATTATGTTCCTTAGACGGGTAAAGAGAAACCAATTAAACATGTGTTTGCCCAGTAAGAAATTCTAGAAGTGGATTGTTTCTTGATCACCGAGAGCACAGTTGAGTATCCACAAATTTAGTCTCTAAATTAGACATTTAGACTGATCAGATTTAAAGCCTAATAATGTCTTGGCCTTTTTCTGTACATGGAATTTTTTAGCTGTGTCTTAAACATGGTATTAAAACCTAATTCAAATCGGCCAGTCAGATTAACAAACAAGTGAATTAATATCCCACTCGAATCAGTTAAAAGCTGTGGATAGAATGACTTAGTTAATTTTATGTTGTTTGTAATTAATATAAATATCTCTGTTTCTTATGAAATATCAGTAAATAAAAAATCATATTAAATGTACTATTTTCAATTAAATGTTAGATTGCTTAAAACAATGGCAAATGTTAGATAATTACATTGAAAACTTTAATCTTTTTGTGTTGATTTTTTTAATATTCTAATTGATCGACTGCACATAATTATGCAGGCAAAAAATGTATATTGATAATTATACATATATGTGTTTCTTCGAGCCTTCTAGGTCTATATCCTGTCATTTTAAAATGAGTCATACATAACATTGTACTTCATCTAAAACCTTTGCCTCATTAACGGGAACATAGATGGGTAATCGATTTTTCAAAAACTTGATGAGAAATCAAATAAAAGGTCTTTAATCGCAATAATTAATCATTATCTGCCTTGTATTGTTCGTCGATACTCGCTTTATTTGGTAGCCACAACTCGAAAGTAAGGTGAAATGAAAAGAAGAATATTCCACCTTACAGTTATATATTTTATTTCCAAAAAAAAAAAAGAAATAAATTAAAATAATCTCCTGTTGATATTTACGTGACAAGGAAAGCACAGGCTTTGGAGCTCGACAAGGTTACCCAATCGTACCATACGATGCGTGTAGGACAAAAGATTTACCTATGACTGAACGCCGCATCTTTACGTATGACCGGATGAGGTGAGATTATATTTTAAAGTGATAATTTTCTTCTTTTGTTACTTTTAAGACGTCACATGAAAATGCTGGGTTTTTTTATATTACATACTCCCTCCGCTTTTAAATTTATAATATAATTTATATTATAAAATAAGTCTTATATTTAAAACTAAAAAATTATATACTCCTTCCGATCCTAATTTTACACCACAAAATAAATTTTATATTTAAATTATACAATAAAATAAATTTTATATTTAGGATCGGATAAGTATTATAATAAAAGACAATGTAACAACAAATGATTCTATAAACAGAGTGAGAAATAGTTGGGCTGTCGGTCACCACCTTTTGTCGATTTTGTGCTCACTGCTCAGCCTCAAAAGTAAGACCCACCAGAAGGCTTATAATGGGGCAATTGACAACGCTGCCAGGGTTGCTCATATACAAGCAGATGATTACTTTAAAAATTATTTTCCCAGCTGCTAGTCAAACCCATCACCAAGTTTAACCGGTAAACAGCAAAGAATTGAATTATTTAGCATTTTCCGCATTTAGAAATCAAATGCATAACTTTCAATAATTCTCCCCCCTATCACTTGCGCTAATCATGAGAATCAAATGCATAATTTACAGAAAAGATGGAGGTGACAAAAGCACAAAACGTACAAATTAATATTTGTCTCATAATAACATAATTAAAAAAAGATAGCTACTGTTTTTGCTAATTACTGTATTAATTTTCAGTTTGACCACCGTATGCTTTTATTAACATTCCAGACACACCTAGCCTGTACACCTGTCGAGGTTATCATGTAAAAGAAAAAGAACAAATCAGCCTGATCAGTATATGATACAAATACTAGTATCTATCTGAACCTGACTGACCATAGAATGACCCCAAAATTATCTACACAGAGCCAAAAACACGAAATAATTTACACGAAGTTCTCAACAGATTCATCAAAATTCTTGACCATATGCAATCAAATCAAGATATATCTATATGGATTTCACCAGTGTCTTTAGCAAACTAATCTAAAGGAATCTAACATTCAGAAATCTTAAAACAAAGTCAACAACAGCGAACGCAAAGGCTAGGCCGCCACGGAAACATCTGCCGCATCACATGACGGCACAGGCGGCGGGGTTCTCATCACTGAAAGCCGTCGTGTAACGCACCTCCGAGGAGCTCGCACGTGCGAGCTGGGACACGTATGGATCTTGAGCATTTCGCACGTACCCAGCCGGCGCCTTCCTGTCGTAGACGCCGGCAGCATAAGGGTGCTCAACCTCGTCGTAAGGGACGTACGGCCACAGCTCGGCCCTCTTGCCGGTCCGGTGAGCTATCCGAGACACCACCTTGGACGCCTCCACGTAGCCGGTGACAGTTACTTTGTTAGCCTTGCGATCCACATCCACCTGGTTCACGCCCTTCATGCCTTCCACCGACCTCTTCACCTTCCTCTCGCATCCTTCACAGTCCATCTTCACTTTAACCTCCACCGTCTGGCCAATCAAATCAAGCACTCCACCCGTTAAAAATCCAGATCACAACTCTATCGAAGATGCAGAGCAGAAAAAGCAGAATGGGAAAAATCACCAAAGAAAAGGAAGTAAGGTTACCTGCAATTGCCTGCGCCTCTTGTGCTTGGAGCTACCAGTGGAACAGTCAAAGAGTTCAGAAATATGATCGAGAGCACCCATGGTGAATCTGAGGCGAAAAAGGAATACTGCTGAGATCACACGAGCCGATGCGAATAATTAACGGAGAAAAGTGGTAGGAATGAAATATCAGAGGATTGGGTAAGGGCTTTGCTTTTTGAGGCGAGGAGATTACGGAGTGATACTGATGGAACAACCTTGGAGGATAAGAGGCGACGGATTCACCGAATTTATAATCAATGCGAGGGCAACACAGTGACATAGTTGGGCAGGCCGAGTGTTGCGGGAAATCTGAGCCGTCCGGGTAGTCAAGAAGGCAATATCGGGAACTGGGAAGGATGGGCAGAATTGTGCCACGTGTGCAAGGTGGGGGCCACGAGAGCACCGACCACGACAAGTGAGGTGGGGCCGGGCAGAGAAGGAAGGGCCCAGGAAGAATGGATGCCAGCGGGGGGGATCATTTTGATTTGGAAAAATCGGGCCTGCATCTGGAGGTGGAGCCTTTTTTTTCCACAGAGTTTAACGCATCCGACAAACTGGCTACCAGCAATGTCCCACTCCCAATCCGCTTCCCCATCACCATCAACCATTACGCAATTATTAGATTATCTGATTTTTTTCATGTCGACCAAAAAAAAAATTAAAATATCAAATTTATTACCGTGCTTTCGGATCGTCACCTGCGAGCAACAACTCTTATCAACCTAGGATTAAAGGGGGATTTGGATAGAAACCAAACTATAATTTCAGAAATGTTTTTTACGGTTGACGAAGTAAATATGTGAAGGAATTTACCTCGTCTTATAAAAAAGTGCTTCTAGAACTATGGTTTTGAAGTTGCCAAACACCCTTTGAAAGCTTACCTTCTTAATTGGTCTGTACTGTATGTGTTGTTTGGGGTTGAATTTTACATTTTTCTATTGAGTTTAAAAGTTGAAAGATCATCGTTTTGAATTTAAGAAAATAAATAGCTGTTCATCATATTTATATTTTAATTACTTAATCTTGTTAGGTCATGTATGGGTTTATCCGTAGATGTTTTATTTATTTATTTATTTAATCTCTTGTCATGTAAATATTACAACTATTCTTAAGATTATATATGAATATTTTCCTATATTTTAATTAAATTACATTATTTTAGTCATAATTTTTTTTTCACCCGAGTTGAAAAATAATTTGCCGTTAAACTAGCATCTCAACCGCTCTAATTATTCATCCACTTTTCAGCATCTCGTCATGGACTTTATAATAAGCCATGGGCATGGCATGGGTGGGATGAAATATAGTTAGGGAGGGTAGAAATTAATCAAACCATCAACGTATGAAAAAAGCACTCTGTGTATTTAATATTGACTAGCACTGAACCGGGAAAAAAAATTGATCAGTTCTAGTAATAATGTTAGTAATCATATTTTTTTAGGCGTTACATAAGATTAATAAACGTGTCATGCTATTTATAATCTATAAAAAAATAGTATGTTTTGGTCTTGCTATTTCGGTTCTTAACATAAAACCTAATTATTAAGTTAGTTTTAATTTTAAATATGAAACATGTCCTTCACACCAAAAAAACTGGGCTTTCAAAAAAATATCCAAAAGATAATTTGAGGATGTCGATAATTTTTGGTCTCAGGAGTGGAGGGGGCGTCAACATGGAGTCGGGCAGCGTTCCCACGTCCCACCACGAACCTTCGAGCAAAGGAGAATCTTCACATAAAACCAAAACCCCCTCGGAACGCGGATCCTTGTCGCTTGCAACTTCGAGTATGTTTTTTCCCGAGTCCGCATGCCCGCTGTGCGAATCTCTGAACAGGGCATGCTCAGTATTGCTCATCTTCCAAACGGTACCGTTTAGAGCACCAATTGGAGAGGGAGCCCCCTCTCTCTTTCTTTTAAATAATTTTTATTTTATTTTATTTTAGTTGAGTTGTATATAGTCTCTTAAAATATTTTTTTACAGCACTTAATATTTTAAATTAATTAATTTTTAATACATCTAGTGTTCTAAAATATTTTCACAGTAGGACCCAATATTTTAAATTAATTAATATTTAATATATTCAGTATTCTAAAATATTTTTCACTAACAATCAGTATCCTAATTAATTAATTTTTAGTGTATTCAGCATACAGAAGCATTTATCCAATAGCGTCTAGTTTTATAAATTAATTATTTTTTAGTACATCCAACACCCTAAAATACTTTTACAGTAGGACATAGTATCCTAAGTTAGTTAATTTTTAATGCATCTACCATCATGAACTATTTTCTCAGTAATACCTACTATCCCAAATTAATTTTTTTTTCCGCATACAGCATCCTAAAGTATTTGTTCTGTAATACCCAGTACTATTTAATACCCTAAAGTATTTTTCTAATAACAATCACTAATTAAAAAAAATATAATATGCTAGAAGTTAATTAATTTAGAATACTCAATACACTAAAAAACTAATTAATTTAGGATATTTGATGTTATTGAAAAATATTTCAAGATGATGAATTCACTTAAAAAATAATTAATTTAGGATATTGAATGTAACTCAAAAAATATTTTAAGATACTTAATGCACTAAAATTTGACTAATTTAGGATACTAAGTGTTACTGAAAAAATATTTAGAGTACTAAATACAAGTTAACTCAAATAAATTAACAAAAAAAAAAAGAAGGGAGCGGGTATCTGATCTCAAAACGACAGTGTTTAGGGGATGAGCGTGGCACGGTCAGAGATTCGCTCGGTTTCGTTTTTTAAAACTACGCTGACCACGGCACGGTCAGAGATTCGCTCGGTTTCGTTTTTTAAAACTACGCTGAGCACGGCACGCGGTTTCGTTTTTCCCCACCCCCCCCCCCTCCATGAGTCCATGCTGGTAGTGGTAATTTAGGGATAATTTAACTGCACTTTAAAAAAATATCCAAAAGATAATTTAACTATGCTGATAATCTTTGGTCCCAGGAGTGGAGGGGCTGTCAACGTGGAGTAAGGCAGCGTTCCCACGTCCCATCACTATGCTGCGAGCAAAGGAGAATCTTCACATAAACCCACCCCCAGTACTACACAAACGACTTTGTACTTATACTTATTATTAATACTATTTTTAGTTTTTAGTATAAGATTTTATTTAATTTTTATTTTAATATTAAATATAAAATCTTAATCTGTTTTGTCTCTTATATTTATATATTTTTTTAAAATAATTCTTCTCATAATGATAGTTGTAACTAATAACTTTATTAACAAAGATATTTTAAGAAAAACAATACTTATTTATTACAAATAACTAATTTAACTAGTTTTATTAATCTCCTCAAATTAATCAAAAAATTCTTATACTACCTCCGGTCTTAATTATAAGAGCTAGTTAACTAATTTGAGGAAATTAAAAAATGAAGTTAAGTTAGTTATTTGTAATAAATATGTGTTGTATTTCCTAAAATATCCTTGCTAATCAAGTATACTGGCAAGATTCTACCATTGTCAGAAGGACTTTCTTGGGGAAAAAATGTATAAATTTGAGAGATAAAGTGGATTGAGATCTTATATTTAGGATCAAAATTAAAGTTAAATAAGCTCTTATACTAAGGAATAGAGGTAATATTTAGGATTAGAGGTGGTATTTCTTTACTTCCCAGTTTCCTCCAAATTCCTTATCCCTATCTTTAGGATTTTGCGTGTAGATTGATTCTATTCCACTAACTCCTTAAATACGATAATCAGTTATCAGATTCACATAAACTAATCCACTTAAAAAAATCCACATAAACTAAATAAGCTGGTTACATCTAATTTGTGTTCTTCCCAAATATGATTCTAATTAAATGTACTAATATCTAAATTATTCATAAAGGGTTGCAGAAAATTACCGATTGGGGCTCTTTTATAGAATTGTGAAAAGGGCTCCGTAAAATGGATACTCTGGAAAGCAATAAAGGAAATACATCTAATTAAAAATATAAACCACAAACACCTACCTATAAGTAATTGAATATAATCACGAGGCACACTGAAATTCCTAAACAAATTTCAGATATGTTTGGATAACGAACATTTTAACGAGAGATTTTTAAGCAATTATATATATTGTGAATTATTAGATCCTTTTATAATTACTGGTGCACATATTGACACATGAGGCCGGCTCAAACGGGAAGAGTGGGGTGAGTTGTGGGTGGAAATTAAGGGATCAATCAAGATGCTCAATTTGTTTCTGAAAAAAAAAAAAAAGACTACTACCGGCAATTCTTAATATAAGATCTCATTTGATTTTTATTTTGATCCTAAATATAAAACCCAATCTACTTTTTTTTTAATATTTATTTATTTATTTTTAATATAGTCCTTCTAATAGTGGTAGTTTTAACTAATAAATTTGATTATCAAGGATATTTTAGAAAAAAAACATATATTTATTATAAATAATTAACTTAAATTTTTTTGTAATTAATTAATTAGTTCTTACATTTACGATGGGACGTAGTATCATATATATACTGAACCACATCTTTTTTATTCCATTATGGGATCATTATGTGTCGAGTATGGGCCTTCATAATGGACAAGCTGGAGCCCAAGTCGGCCAACCCGTAACGAGGAGGAAAAGGGCTAGCAACCATCCCTTTAGAACATTGGCTCCCAGCCCGTTAGAATTCCGTCGGGATTGAACAAAACCCTTTGAAAAAGGTAAAACTGGTGATCCTCTACATCGTTTCTCGATCTGAGCTATGTATGGCACGACCTTGTCCGTGACAATATCGATCAATTCACACATGTCCACTTTCTCATGAATTCCACAAAACCATGAGAATGCCTAACATCCTCACGGCCCCGAACTGACCATGAGAACTGCTCAAGCTGGAACCATAATCATCGGAACGTTGAACCAACGACTTCTCACTAACTCGTGCACCTATTAATCCCAAAGTCACAAGTACATCCGTACGAATTTATCACGGATTTAGCCCAGCCGTTAGAAAACTGAAGATTCTCATTGCAAGTTAGCAACTTACCACCTCCATTACCGTGAGGACGGCTCACGCTGAGAACGTTTGATTTGAACAACGTCCCCATTGATACTCACTTTTCTCACAGTCAAAAGGCTATCCGTGAGACCCTCACGGTTTATCATCAGCTGTGAGAACTAAATAACCTGGACAACTCTCACAGAACTCCTCATCTCTCACGGTACCTCCTCGTC